TTCAGAATTTTGTGGGGAGGGGGAAACCAACCCCCTTATTGGCATTCTTGATTGGCATATGACTGGCAGCAATCTACTCTGGACATTTGTTAATGGAAGAATAGAGAGCCACGTTTTGAAGAAAATGGGGAATAAAATCAAATTGCTATCTTTTCTCCAAAAAATTCTCAGACCATTCTCAGAATGAGAAAGAAAGCCCAAACAGAATTTACCATATTCTTCTTCTTTTTCCATATTCTGTTGCTGGTGTTGCTTCTTGAAAGATGAGTGAGGGATTTGCTGCAGTGGTGGGATTCAAATTTTTTTACTACTGGTTGTGTGGGTGTGGCTTGGTGGGCGTGGAAGGGAAGGATACTGTAAGATCTCAATTCCCTCCCAATCAACTGGGATGTGGGAGGCAGAGAATAGATGGGGGCCGGGCCAGTCAAAGGTAGTATTTACTGATCCAAACTACTCAAAATTTCCACTACCGGTTCTCCAGAACTTGTCAGAACCTGCTGAATTTCACCTCTGCTTTGCTGGCCTCTTGCTTCAGAAATACCTTCCATCAGATTTCAGAACAACCATATTTTTTTCCCATTGTGCCAAGTATGTGTACATATATTACTCTACTTACAACTTTTTTTAATACATTTTTAATTTATTTATTATTTTTACAAACATATTATTGCGTGAACAGTGTGGCACCTGGGTATATATACATTCTAATACAAATAAAACTAATAGCATTAGTCATTGTTATTACTTTAAACCAACTAACATATTTCTAATAGTAATACATATTTTTATTGCAATCTGTAACTATTGATTGTTCCATATGTTCTCTTATTATTGCTCTTATTTTATTATATAAAAGTGTATACACTAATATTCCCCTTTTCTCTTATTTATATTTTCTTATTCTAACTTTTAATCATAACATTCTTTGTTAAAAAAAATTCTTTCTTTCCTACTTAACTTTTAATCATGTCACCTACCTAAAAACAAAAAGAAGGGAGAGAGAGAGGAAAAGAGAGCAAATCAAAGCAACACCAACATTGAAAAATCATCTATCCAGCATCTCTTACCCACTTTAATAATTAATTGCTAGGCTTTTTTTTTTCTTTTTGACGTGTCTCCCATATTCCTCTCTAAGCTCTTTATGTCTTTCTACATCTGCTTCCTGGCTGTTCAATTTGAGTATTTTTTCCACCTCTATCACTTACAACTTTTCATTTAGAGACCATTTGAAGTTACTGTATCTAAACCCTTCTTTTTTGCAAAAGTCTGCTTTCAACATTGTTTCTGGAGAGCAGTTTTACATAAGAGCCTAGATGAGCATTGCCCCCTAGAGTCGGGAATGACTAGCACATATGTGTGAGGGGAATCTTTACCTTTATTCCAATAACTGTTACTCATTTGTATAGTTTTTGAACTATCCTGTGAAATATAAGGGAATATATAAAATTAATAAAATATAAGGCATAATGTGGCTGAAGTTAAGACCTTTTAAGTCTCATTGATTACAGTGGAACAAGTAAAAAGCAAAGGCTTGTGTTTTTCAACACATTGATATCTGCAGGTTTAAATTCTTTTTCATGGATTTTGTAAGAAAATTCATGTATTAAAGTATGTAGATATTGGCATTTCAGTACCCAGATTCACTCTTTTAGTGTGTAAATGGATGTGTTGATTTCAAAATTGCAACGGTAATTGTTGAAAATATAGATTAAATCTTTATGCAATATTAACTTCTTCACACACACCCAAACACCTCAACTGGGTAAATAATTAATCAGACACTGCAGTTAATATTCTGTTACATATATTTCTCACACTTAACTTCCCAGTAATTTCGTGTTCCAATTGTTGATGAGAACTTCCCCTTACTTTTATCAATGTTAGTAACATCTTGTGATATCTCAGTAGATAATGATTCTACTTTTAATATTGCTTTAATTAACATTATCATCATTACATAATAACATTGTCATTATTATGAGTTATTATCTCATAATAATTGAATCCAAGACAAAATCTAGTTATCCCTGTCTATAGGGCTATTCCAGATTTTAATATCTCTTTGATACATCTTGATGTCAATATGTAAAGAAGCCAGAAAACTTTGAACATAATGTATATGCCACTAAAGCTCTTGTTTCTATCATTTTAATAGTGCATAATAGGGCAATGATTTTTGAACCAATATATCTCAAATGGGCTAATTCACAGAATGCAAACAAAATCCAGGATCCATATGCCAGAGGGAATAAAGTTTGGGGAAATTACCGTACATTTGATTAATAAATATTTTTTTTAAAATAAAATTGTAGCTGCTTTAGCTCTGCTGGGCTGCAACTGTACTTATGTGATGCTCACTTTGAATGTTCTGTGACAGTTTCCCAGCCACTCTTGCAATCCCTTGCTCCCTCCATCCAGCAGCAACCAGTTACCTGCTTGCTAGGAAGGGAAGGGAAATATATTCATTATCTCCCAAGGCACCGTAAAGGTAGTCAATGTTCTGCCTTATTTTTTTTTAAAAAGAAATAGTAACTATTATAAATTATAAAGCAAGGTATATATGCTTCTAGACGTCCACAACATAATTTCAGAGAAACATATTTACAAAAGAATTTCTTCCAGAATTTGTGGACTTTCAAATATGTTGGACAACCTTCAGAACTTAGTGTTCAGTATACAATAATATTAAAAGGGATGTTGAAGCTGGCAGTTGCTTGCATTCAAACAGTACCCCTGCAAATTGTCAACATGTGCTTATTGTGTAAGCCTGGAATCTGCATGCCCACAGATGTCTATGCTCTCAAACTGATGAGATGCTTCTTACAGCATATTGAGAATAAATCAGCATCTAAAAGTAAATTTACCATGAAGCACAGCTGGGCTACCACCATGGAGATTAAGAAGCAGTTGGCATTTCTTCTGGGTGAATGCCAAAACTGCCCTGAGGATTAGAATATGTCTGCAGATATATTGCATGGATTGTGCAGCAAGATATGATGAAATGTTACATGCTGTATAAATAAAGCACTTAATATTTCCTCACTGGTTTTCTCTTTTGATCAGTGCTACTCTCTTGCACCATTAGTGCCCCGCAAAAGAAAACCAACAGCAATCACCCTCTCTTTATAGGGTTTGCAATTGTTATTAATTCATCATTAGAAATGATTTGCATTAATTGAATAAAGAGCATTCTGGAGTCTTGGTTTAGAAGCCAGTTAGCTTATGGCACTTGAAAGTGGCAGGACACCCAACGTTCTTAGAGAAAAGAGTACAAAAGACATTAGAAATTGGCAATGTTCTCTGTGATGTTCATATGAGCTGTAGCAGGGCTTGATTGGGGATGCAGGGGAAGAATGGCTTAATGATGCTGGAAATAGCAGCCAGAAATGGTCTGCACTCCAGCAGTTTGAGCCCAGCTCTGCAAGACGGAGTGGGTGCCCATTGCTCATTCCCTGGCTCCTCCCCACTCAGCAGTTTGAAAACAAATTACAAGTAGATAAATGGGTACCACTTCAGTGGGAAAACCCTAGCTGCACTTGTGTGTGCAAGAGAGCAGAAGCCAATGCTGTACCTGGCCAAGACGAGGCAAGACGAGACCAGTGGAGAAACTGAGAAGAGCCAGCAACTTGAGCATCACTAGTCAGCTGGTGTAAAGCTAGTTTGCTTTCCGCGGTGCAGTAAGGATAGGTGCGCAAATGCCAAACAGAATGAACTGGCAATTAGGTTGCCAGGACTGCACAGTCTCTGGCATTTGTAGATTTCCCTGACATGGTAGGTCAGTGATGGCGAACTTTTTCGGCACCGAGTGTCCAAAAGATTGCATGGAAATGTTGCACACGCTCATCGGGGCCGTGTTCTGGAAAAGCCAAATGTCTGGGCTCTAGTGCTCATGCGTGCCCAACGACCAGCTGGCCGGCATGCATGTTCAGTCTGGTTTTCAGCACTGTCGCGCAGGCGAAGGAATTGTGATCCAGAAAAGCGAAACTTCCGGGTTCTGGCACGCATACGCACCCGACAATCAGCTGGCCGGCGTGCATGTGCACACTGGGTTTTGGCACTAGTGTGTATGTGAATGACAGCTGAAATAAACCCAGAAGTCAAACAGGCAGGGCCATGCATGCCGGGCGACATGGCTTTATGTGCCACTTTGGGCATGCATGCTATAGGTTCACACTGGTAGACCATACACTAAATAAATAAGGGCTTGATTGCTAAAGTTTGATAAACAATGATTGTCTCTTGAAATTTGGAATTATTTTTACATGAAGGAAATTACACTTGAGCTATCAAATATGAGGTTGCCCAGTGTCTGAAGACTGTTCATCACTGGCCAGAAGGTAACTCCAAGGATCCATCTCTTCCTATGGATGCATCGGAAGTTTTATAAATTCTA